GGTGGGGGGTAGGGTAGGGGATTAGATATCACATATACTTTTTCATATACATGGCACAGGATAAATGTCGCAGAAGTATAGATTTTAAGATAGATGTGCAGTCATACAAGATATGATAAGATTAGAGATAGTCAATTTTGATAATGGGTGCAAGTAGATCACATAAATAAAACAACAGAGTTGTTTAGATGGTGTATGATCGTGTCCGATGTAGGCCTCCAGATGAAGCAATGATGATTTGATTTGATGATACAAAGTGTTAGAGTGGACGAGGTAAGTCTAAAGTCACATATAGAGAAGCCACAAAATCTCTTGGAAGTTTTACAACACAATAGAAGTGAGGGATCTATATAGGTGATCCCAATGTATTATGCTTAAGGTTTAGTAGTTATATTTCTAACTTGCATAAGGTTTAGTTGTTAGGTGTAGATTTAGAGAACTTCTTGTTTTAAAGAACTTCTAATTTGGCTTACAACGAACTTCTTGTAGTGGAGTGAAATAGACTTGATTAGAGAGGACTGGATGGTGTTGTGAAATCTGAATCAGACTGGATGAGTTGGTGGGGGACCCTAGGGTGCAGGGTGGAGGTTTTAACCTTATCTAATCAGTATGCAAGGTGTGGAAAAAATCAGTATGGAAAGGGCCAAACATGTCATTAGGCAAGTTATTCCCAACAGATGCATGTCAAACCACAGTATAGGTACGCCAATATAGATTGTTTGGAGGATAGCTCATATGGTGCGAGGCTGTGAGCCCCGCGGTGAAGAATCGATTCCCACTTATGTAATATCTTCCTCTAATTGTAATAAATTTTAAAAAGAACATAAGTTTGATGTCGGTTTGTAGTGTATCAGCAAACACAAAAGACCAGCTGATGTGCATTCTCATTAACAAAGCTGTTATGGTAGAATCCCATGCCGCGACCCATACAAAAGTTGTGCTAATTGCTTTGGGAGGGAACTATCTCCTCCGTTTTGCGGAATCCCATGTAAATGTCTTCACAAAAAAATATCTTCTTAGGTTGCCCTTTGTTGTGATGTAAAATCCCACTTAATAACTAGCAAAGATTTAATAAAACACATGCATGAATAGCTTCCATTATATAATTGTCACAAGTAGTTGCATAATTACCTGCTGAAGCACCTGCTCTGCTGCAGCACTGGAAGTTGCATAATCTTGTCATCATTTAATCCCTGTATTATATTTCCCACATTATAATCCCTGTATAACTTGCTCACGGGCCAAACGATCCTAAAGGGATCCTTGGTGGCTTGTTAGTATTCGAGGGGTTTATAAATTACGGGACTCATATGATTTCCTTTTAATTTCTACTTCTGCTAGTAGTTTATGATTTTTATTTGAGATATGCTTAGTTAGTACCTTTTTCTCTGCAAGAATACTTTAAATGAATTAAGTGGACCATTGATCTTTTGTCCCCAAGTTCATCTCCATCCATCATTTGGAGGTTCTCTCAGAAGTAACAAAAGATAGTCCAAACATAGAGGGGAACTGAGAAATGCTGGATAAAAAGATAAAGGCACATCCGGTAGCATTTTCTCCAAAAATTTTAGTCTAACAAAACTATGGAAAATGCAAAAAAGGGATAGAAATAATTAATTCCATGGTGTGATTATATGGTGAATCAAACCTAAGCATCTGTATTGGGGGGTAGGGTAGAGGATTAGATATCACATGTACTTTTTCATACACATGGCACAGGATAAATGTCGCAGAAGTATAGATTTTAAGATAGATGTGCAGTCATACAAGATATGATAAGATTAGAGATGGTCACTTTTGATAATGGGTGCAAGTAGATCACATAAATAAAACAACAGAGTTGTTTAGATGGCGTATGATCGTGTCCGATGTAGGCCTCCAGATGAAGCAATGATGATTTGATTTGATGATGGAAAGTGTTAGAGTGGACGAGGCAAGTCTAAAGTCACATATAGAGAAGCCATAAAGCACGTAATCTCTTGGAAGTTTTAAGACACAATAGAAGTGAGGGATCTATATAGGCGATACCAATGTATTATGCTTAAGGTTTAGTAGTTATATTTCTAACTTGCATGAGGTTTAGTTGTTAGGTGTAGATTTAGAGAACTTCTTGTTTTAAAGAACTTCTAATTTTGCTTACAACGAACTTCTTGTAGTGGAGTGAAATAGACTTGATTAGAGAGGACTGGGTGGTGTTGTGAAATCTGAATCAGGCTGGATGAGTTGGTGGGACCCTAGGGTGCAGGGTGGAGGTTTTAACCTTATCTAATCAGTATGCAAGGTGTGGAAAAAATCAGTATGGAAAGGGCCAAACATGTCATTAGGCAAGTTATTCCCAACAGATGCATGTCAAACCACAATATATATGTTACCAATTTCAAAAAATGCATGTCAAACCACAATATAGGTACGCCAATATAGATTGGTTGGAGGATAGCTCATATGGTGCGAGGCTGTGAGCCCCGCATCCTTCACCATGTGGTGAAGAATCAATTCCCACTTATGTAATATCTTCCTCTATTTGTAATAAATTTTAAAAAGAGATTCTACAAAACAAAACCAGACTGTGGATGAGTTTTTTACACTCCGGTCGGGTATTGGTGTATCAAAAGGGCCCTTAAACTGTTTGTTCCGGTCGGGTATTGGTGTATCAAAAGGGCCCTTAAACTGTTTGTTTGTTTTTGATTTTGAGTTGGTATTAGTAGATGAAAATGTCTGGATAATAAGATCCAGTTGAGGTGTGGAAGATATTTATCGTGCAAAATATTTGCATGTCTATCCCAAAGTATTTAGTTTTAGGAGTCCGAACCTTCAGGTGCTTGGACAGCTTAGAATAAGCATTGCTGGGGTTTTCACCTTTGCATTCCTTGTGATGAAGGCATGAAGCAATGCAACAGCTTCCCCAACAAGAGAATACGGGAGCCACCTCAAAATTACAGGAGAAAAAGAGAAACAAAAGGAGCAAGAGACAGAGAAAAAGGGGATTAAGTATCACAGCATCATTGGTCTGTTTCTTGTTAATCTGGGTGCAGTAGCATTAGTCTATTTCTGTATATCTTGGCAAGAGACGCCCGATTCCTTTATGTCCATCACGGCACTCAAGGACCGAGGATGGTGCATAATTTTTCTAAGGCACCCAAGGATCAAAGATAGTGCATAATATTTCAAAATAATTGATAGTTATTGCAATGGGAATTGTGTTTGTTATTCTTCGTGATCAATATATGCTTACCATTTGATGATATTCAACTTTAGTATTCACATCCTCTTAAAAAAAGAAAAAAGAAACTAACTTTGAGGTATTGATTTGACAATGTACAGGGGCACTTTTATTTTTCGCTCTGCTAGGCCTATCTGGTTGCTTCATCACCTGTTATGATCGAAGAGTGCGCAATGATTTGGCTCAACCCTGCCGTGAACTATGCATTTGCTGTTGTCATCCTGGGTAAAGAATCTTGACTCTTCGTTAGTAATAAGCTTACTGCACTCTTCTTCCTTGTTGCTCTCATCATCAATCCAAGGAACAAGTAAATGAGGGTTAACCAATGCAAGAACATTTTTTCCGTTACATCACTTTTGCACTCTTGATAGACTGCAACATAGCAATTTAGAATTGTCAATGAAGCTGTGTTTGGTTAGTTTTCTGGATAATTATTATTATGTCTTAGTCTCTCCTCCGTCCTTTTTAGGACAAAATATTTGCGTTTTTCATTCTGAAAATCTGCTGCTTTGTTTGGATGTGTCCATCATCTATTGTTATACATGCTAAAGCTGTTTTTGATGGATTACCTGTTCTCATTTATTAATATTTTATCCGGTATCTACTGCTTTAGCATCTTGTACAACAAAAGTGCGAGAAATGGTGCTCTCTGATCTCTTTCTTGTGTTTCTTGTGAAGCTATTTCTTGAGGAAAGATTTATTTTTTTTCTTTTTCCATTGGCTGCTGCATCATCGTCATCTAATGATGCCCTTGCAGAATGTGTGCAGACTGTCATTTGCCTGGTACACTTTGTATGTGGACTGATTGCACAACATGCTTTGAAAGTTGTGCTGGTGCGGCCAGTGAATGTGGAGGTTGCTTAGGAGGTGCCGGTGAAGCTGGGTTGCCACTAGTACTTATAATTTCTTTAATTGTGCTAGGACTATTTACTGTCATCGGCATATTTTATAGTGTTTTGGTTGCTACAATGGTTGGGCAGAGAATATGGCAGAGGCATTATCATATACTTGCAAAAAGAATGCTGACAAAGGTGCGCTTAACCCTATTCCATGTTTTGTGCTTTCTTGCCATTCCTTCCCAATCATTGTCTTGAACCCTTTCGCCGAGAGGCGGTTCATTAAAATGTTATATACAATAAATACTCGAGTACACGATACCACTCATAATTTGAGGCATGATGACTGCTATAATTCTTAAGATATGTTTGTTATTCTTTTGAAGGAATATGTTGTAGAGGATGTCGATGGTGAGGTCAACGGAAATGATTGGTCTCCACCAGCTCTGCCACCAGAGCATGTTCAGCAGCTGAAATCACTTGGACTTATGTAAAAAATTGAGGATTTTGACATAAATGAAACTCCATACAACTGGGGCTCTCATCATGAGATTTAGTAGTATAAGCAGTTAGACCTGCAAGGCATAGTAAGGTCTGTGTACATCGTACCCTCTCCTCTCCAGGTGGGATTACATAGGGTATGCTGTTGTTGTAGTTAAACTTGCAAGAGAGAAAATCCCTTTCAACCCAATATTGTTCATATTTTGAGGATGATCACACATGTAATTGTTAACAAAATAGACCCTTAACAATCCAAATGAATTAACAGTTGCAATCTGGTTTAGCCCCTTCTAGTTCTAGTAGTTCTCTATTGTTATATTTGTTTGCTGTTTCCAAGTATATTGGCTAATTGACTTGTTTATCACATCTTCAACTTTGTGAAGGAGAACATGTGGAATTGTTTTCCTTTGCTTTTTAAGAAGAAAAAATGAATATTTGCTTGTCAACAAGAAGATAATGAATTGTATGTTGTTAGCTCTGCATCAATCTCAATAGAAGTGGGGGTGTCTACCTACGTGTATAAAATTGAACAAATAGACACGTGCGTACGTGGCACAATACACGTAGGAGTTAGGACGCTACATATAGGATGTGAATTATCACATATATAGAACGTCACATAGGATGCATGTGTCTACTTATTCAACTTTATACAAATTTAAGTGTGCACTCCTACGCATGTATCGAACGTGATCACAAAAATAAAAAAACTTGTCAAGACTCACGTTACGTTACACTGGTTGGAACGTTTGTTTGGTTGCATCACGTGGTCGGTGAGGGTGATGCGTGATCCTTTACCTCACATACACTTTAACAAATTCTATTCTCTACATTCTAAACTAATTGAAATTCAATGTTTCATAATTCATACTATAAATAAATATTTTTTCGATCTTTAATTACTTGTCAAATTTTCCTTTTTTACATGTTACTTGAAGGAGTAGTTGCATCAACTTCTAATTTACTACTCTCTTATCAAAGAAAAGGCAACGTGGTACTCATCTTCCTTTGCTTTTTCTCTATACATAACGTCCAATACATGTGTTACTAATATATATTTAATTCCAACTAATAATCGTACGAGTTATTCACTAATTAAATCATGCATCCTTTCTCTTTGTTTGTGTATATTCACAAATTTATCATAACAATTACTGTTTCATTTATTAAATTTGCAATTTTATTATTTTTTATATTAGACGATATAGGTTTGCTTTATAAATAATTAAATATATGCTAATATATTTATTTCTATATTGAAGGGACCAAAAGTCTTTCTAATTGTCGGTAGCTTCTAGAATGCTCTTTGAGTCTTCTTAGTCATGCACCAAAACCTCTTGAATCAAATCTAATTTGAATCTCCATAATGTTAATAAGTACTTTTTTATATTTTTAATCATAAACTTTAATCACAAATTTTGAATTCAAGCCTTTTACAATAACAATATACTTTTTTTTTTTCTTCTCTGATAAGCAAAAATCACTTTGAGTATTAATCACGATGTTTTCAAAGTTACTTTCTAGATTACTCTTCTCTACATATTTTTAATTTCTCTGCCATCTTATTCTTTTCATAATTAGACAAGGCATAAAGTATTTCCCATTTAATTTTAGTTTAAAAAATATTTTTTCTGAAAATTCATTTTTGTTTTTGGTCAACACTACGATAATTAAATTGTGGCATTAAAATGCTAAGTACTATTTACTTTTGACATATGGTCAAATGGAAAAAAAATGTTGTTCATGATGAAAAAATTGTAATCTTTTTCTTTATTTAAAACTTCACCTAACACATTTTTTTTTTTTTACTAGAAACTATATGAACTTCACTTTTTTTAAAGTCTATATGGTTCATAAATTATAGCAAACATTGCATAATGAGTGGCATTTGTCAAAAAATGTCAAAACCTAATTATTAAGAAAAAGTCTTCACGCTTACTTTTAAAGAAGAATAGGTAATGGTGTTTTGACTTTTTTTCCCCTTTTTTTAATCTTTAAATAAATATAGGTCTTCTCATTGATTTATTATTAAATTATTTTCTAAAGGGAAAATGAAGAAATATAGAATAAGACTAAAATTATTTCTCTGAGTTTGACATCTAGAATTTGGTGAAAAGTCAAGAAAATACCTTATGAATTCGAAGTCCTTTATCCAAATTATAAGTTTTGAAAATAAATTTTTCTTAAGATTAATTATAAACTCCTTTAAAGTGATCCACACACTAATTTTATACACTTTAGAGCTTACACATCCCTTCTAAGAAATTTTAAAATTTTAAAATCGCCCACCACAATAATAATATATATTTATATTTCATTATAATATACATTTTAAATATAATTGGTTAACCAATATAAATTTTTTTGATTGATTAGTTAAATATGTAGTTTCCTCAACTAAACTAAAGAAAATATCATTAGATGCTCTTATCTAAATAGATTTCAAGTTCTCAAAGATCCTCTTTTGTTGTTTCGGATCTCACCAAGTACTCAACTATTTGATTAAATATAAATTTATATCAAAAAGTCTATATTAAAAGAAGACTCACCTAACAAAACAATTTCATACTTAAAAAAACTTCAATCCAAAACTTTTAAGTTAAAAATGAATAAATATTTACGACTTCACGCAACAAGATCTTTCTTAAAGATAAGCAAACTTCCTTGAACTCCACAAAACCATTACTTTAAAAAAAATCCTTGTACTATCCCAAAACCTTTGGGCTCAAGCAAGAATAAAAAAATAAACAATGGGAATAACTTACAAAACCCCCAAAAAATAATTTTAAAAAAGTGACAAAAAAGTCCATTGGAATATATCAAAACCAAACCCAAGGTTTTGTCAACAAATTATTAAAATAATACCACGTTACACATTGTATTTATGTGGCAACCTTATCCATTTCCCACTGTTTTAGTCTTCCCCAATCTACTATATAATATAAATCCAAAATATCCAACAATTTATTTCATTACACATCAAATTAAAAGTTGTCCAAATCAAATTTTACAATTTAGTAGTATGGCTGATATTGCTATGTTGGTTGCAGAAGAGTATGAAAGGAGAGTGAAGAATTCAAGAAAATTTGGATCTGAAGAAGAGATTCAATTATTCTCTTATTTCTCTGAAATTTTAGCTCAAAAATTTGATGGGTATTCTTCCAAAATCAACATGACTTTTGGAGAAACCAAAATTATTGAGCCTAAAAGTGAAGTGGGTCTTGCAGCCATTAATGGGGTCTTTTCTGCTTGAACAAACAAGAAAAAATGGCAGCTAATTTACTTTTTTTTTTATTTTTTTTAATTTTGCATAATTATGAAGAGGAAAAAAAGTAGTTGTAAATGTCAGTTTAAGTTTTTTTTTTTTTGGGTCTATAGAATGGTAACTATTTCAGCTGCTAATTCTGTTGTTTGTTCTTCATGTAATTTATGCAATTCACAATCTTGAAAAAATGTTTCTGTTTCTTAGTTTAATACTACTTCATTTTTATTTTATGTGACATTGTTTGATTGATACGGTATTTAAGAATATATATTTTTTTTAATTTTTGATTTGAAGTAATTCCTAGATAAATTTATAGATAGTTTAGTGGTTGTAAATTATTTAGTTAAAAATAAGAGAAATTTAAAGTTATTAAATTATTTTTAATTACAAGGTAATTTGATTTTAAATGTTCATATGACTTATGAGCTGTAGCAAATTAATTAAAACTGTTAGATAATGACAATTGTTGTCGAGCACTTTTTCTCCGACGCAGAATTGGAATCTTTACAAATGGAAGTGACTACAATTTTAACTACATGTTAGGCGTAGATGGTTACTCAATTAATAATTATTTTTTAAAATATTATAATAAGATAAATATATTCATTGACCTCAAAAATTAAAAAAATAAATCTATCAGTTACATTTTCAGGTTTGCTATAAGATGTAGAGTCTAATTGTATGTCTTCAAGCCAAGTTTATTTATTCAAGTGTTCAAAACTTTATTTTTTCTACTTTAACAACTTACCATAGTCTAACAAGTGAATCTAAGTACAAAATAGATCCAAATTGAGGCCCAGGGGCCTAATCCAACAGTTAGTAAATATATATATTCTCCCTTTTATTCTTTTCGATACACATTCTCGTACCTGATACAAATGAATTGTCTTTTCCTTCTTCTTTTTTTTCCTCTGAAACATACTAAAGGACAACTTTGAGGAAATACATATATGTATCTATGTATTGCTGTATTTTTATAGTATAAGAGTGACAGATTTGAGGAGATACATATGTGTATTTATGTATTTGAATATCTATAACATGCGAGGATAGCTATGAGGAGATATATATGTGTATTCAGTGGCGGAGTTAGGATTTTCAATAAGGAGGTTCAAAATCTGAAGAACTAAACACACCAACTAACCGAAGGGTGTTCGATATCTACTATATATATATAAAAAATAATTTTAACCATGTATAAATAGTAATATTTTCCGTCGAAGGGGTTCGGATGAACCCTTAACAGAAGGTTGGATCCACCCCTGTGTGTATCTATAACTTGTTAGTGGATGTACAACTGACATTTTTAAGGAATATGTCTTTTGATTTTGCCTCAATTGACATCTATATTCTCTAACTTTGGATGTGTATAAGTAGACATTTTCGTCTTACATGACAATTTAATATCCTACATGGTGTCCTGTGTCTACTTATTCAATTTTATACAAGTTTAAGTGTCTGTTTCTGCATATCCAAAGTTAGAGGGGATAGATGTCAGCTGAAGCCAACTTTAAGGACATATTTATGTATTATACCTATGTGTATTAATGTATCTAGGATGTATTGGATGAGTGGACAATTTTTAACCCAAGTGATACAAGAGCATAGGTATACAAGTGATATAAGAGCTTCAAATACAAGTGATACACGAGCGAACAAATATAAGTGATACAAGAGTGAATATTATAAGTGATACAAAAGCTTTAAAAATACAAATGATGCAAAAGTGAATGAATACAAGTGATATAAAAGCGAATGAATACAAATGATACAAGAATGAATGAATATAGTAATACAAAATGAGCGAGGGGTGTGGAAATACAAAGCACAACCTAAATGTCATATGAATATAACAAATAGAATCGCTCGACACCTCAAAAAAATATAATAGTTTATAATGTAAGATATAAGAAAAAATGGCAAAAATGATCCTTCATATTTGAGGGTAGGTTTAAAATTGATAAATAGATTATTAGTTTTGAAAGCACAAAATTATAGTTGAAGAACATATAAAAATAAAAATATT